GAAGGAAGGAATGCACAGAGCACCTTTCCAGATAATAGCTGACACTCTGACCAGACTAAGAACATGAATTTTATTGTAGATTCTCATGTATCTGATGTGGCAAACGTTTGTGTTGGCTAATGTTCCAGTGACCTGCTTTGACTGTGGGAAGTGTACAGGCAAAACCACCATGGACACTAAACCTGTTTAAGGTGCCACATCTCCTTAGGAGCCTAGAGGAGCAGAGAACAGGTCCTAAGTGTCATGTTCAGATGATTGGAGGGTCAGTAGAAATCCACAGACTTTGCGGTTCAGGGCTGTTCTGGTGCCTAACTGGTGGTTTGAGGACAGCTGTGAGTTTGCATCCATCAACAATAGAATCGTTGTTACAAATAGTAACTTTTCTTTTCTTGGAGAGTCAGTGCTGGAGTCAGCATTTCTCCTCTATCTCCCATCCCACCTGTGCAGTGGTCCGAGATTGGAATATAAGTGCAGGAAGTTATGACTCAAGCCCCTACGGGCCATTCCCTGCAGCCCTGCACAGCACGCCCATGTCTGTTGACTTGACTGACCCGCACCTGTTTCACATGGGGTGGTTGGGTAAAAACAGTGATGTGTAAACTATGATTTGGGGAGGGTTTTAATTTCTTTGTGCTTTTCTGTTTTGTTTTTCTTTTCCTTGAAGGTCTCCAAGTTGCCAAATCTCCGCTCCCTAAGTCAGCCGCTCCTCCTTGACATCATAGAATCGTTAGCTAATCACATATCAGACAAGCAGTGTGCAGAGCTGGGCTCAGACATATGACGTGCTTTGGTAATCCAAATATTTAATTTTTCCTCAAAAAAGCTAGCGCTTTACGGCTGACTCTTTTTTTTTTTTTCTTTTTTAAAAACCATTCCATACTGAGCTGCTCAGGGTGCTGACACAGTATAGCAGACGGCCAAGAAGAGCACGGACAGCTGACTGTTACTCTCCTGTGGTTTTCCTTGGTTTGTACCTTTACGGAGCAGGGTTTGGTCTCTGTTACACAAACGTAAAATCGAAACCATTAAGGGAATGAATTTATTCCACATGGTTTTGGGGGTAACTAAGTCCAGAATCAAGCCCATAATTACTTCTATACTGTAAAATAAAACAGTCATAAATAAGAGAATCATTAATCTTTTGAAACAGTATTTAAATAATACTATTTAAAGAACTTCGGCTGAAACAGCCAAGGGCTGTAAGTGGATGTCAGACACAACCAAACTGGAAATAGCATGGTGTTAGCAGTGAGCCTGACTAATGGGACCAGAATATAGTGGCTTGTCAGAGACTGACTCTCCATGTGAATGGATTAAGAGATTAGCCCTTTTGTAGCTGCCTCGGTTGGTGGGCTGCAGGAAGTCCACACCTCGGCAGCAGGTCAGACTAGAAGATGACAGTGGTCCTTTCTGACCATAAAATCTATTAATCCTGTCTCACTAAGCCTTTCTTAATCAATGTATGAATAAACTGTTAACATCTCCTTGCATTACATGATTGACTTGACCTTAATTTTTGAAGAAATTAAGAAAAAGAACTCCTAGCTTGATGAAGGTCACTGTGTTAAAAATAAATATCTGTGCTGCATCTTGTTACTCATTTTGCGCTAAAGCGTCTTCATTAGTCGTTGCCGTTGCAGGAAGGGGAATGAAGGCAGAGCCCCCTTCCCAGGCAGCGCAGGAGCAACCACTGCTCTGTTCCTGTTGCAGCTCCTCAGCCCCTTGTTGGACGCTTCCCGCACTGCAGAGGGGAGAGAGTAGCTCTAGTTTTCTCTTGCTGATGGATTTTGCAGCTTGATGAGGGGGCACAGGAGATGAGCCAGTGTTGGTTAGATGTGTGCCCAGCAGAGCACCTAGGACAGCCCAGAGGAGGGAGGGAGTGACAGAGAAGTTGAGAATCAGTATCTTGTCCTGCCCTAAGCCACGCCAGCTTGCGGTGGTCCTCAGACTGTGTGAGGTGAACGCGTACCTCTGTCCTCATCCATGCAGCAGGACAAGGAGGAGGCAGTGCAGCAGGTGACATCCCTGGCCATATGCGTTAGCTGGCATCCAGTGGTGCAGAGGAGCGTCACCTGATGGGTTTTAGGTTCCCTTGCTTGTTGCCTGAGATACGCACGTGAAGGAGAAGGCAGTACAGACATTGTACTGCCATCTGCCTGGCTTCTTGAAATAACAGAGCTGGCCTGTGCTGGAGCGGTTGATGAGCCCTCCTGGGCAGAGCAGCTGTCCAGCCCCTGTGTTTCTACCCTTGCAGCCGTGATTTTTAATTCAGGGCGGTAAGTTGTTCCTGGTGCAGTGCCAGATGTGATGTGTTCTGTAGCCTGTAGCGTTGCCACTGCACATCCGTGGTTGTGATAGGCGAAGAGGGGCATTACCGTGTCGCTGTACAATGGAGAATATCATTCTGTTTAATCCATGGACCACTCGATCTGACTTCTGGCTGATGGTTTGTACAGGTGAGTCAGACCAGAGGTGGCAGTTGCATCTCAGAGCCAAGGACTCGTTTCTCAACCTGTGGGATTATTTCCAAATGCCTCGTCGGTAATGAAGTCCCTTATCAGAGGTCAAATTACTTATACAGACAATATACACTTTCCTTGGGAAACCAGAAGGTCTGCAAATGATGAGAGGGTTATGCTACAACTTTTTATAGTACTAAAAGTTATTTTTCAGCAGTGCCAGATCCCCTGGAGAACACCCATTTTTCCATACATGCAGAGGCTGGTTCCGTAGGTGAGTAAGAACCAGTTACTTTCAATTTCGCCATAAGCAGCCCCTTTGACTCCATTTTCTCAAACTAGCTGGGGGAGAGTTGAGTTTATTCCTGAGCTCATGAGCAATGAAATGTGCAGACTCAGCACTCTCTGAGCTGGGACACTGTAGGCATCTTTGTTTTGGAGATGGTTTTGGCTTTGTCCAAGCGTATGCTCTAGTGACCTCAAGGGCTCAGTCAGACCCGTATTGCATCAGTGGGATTTGTTGTGTGAAAAATTGCCATCAGTGGAGCTGTTAGCTTGTTGAGCTGATTTGCCTCTAGGCTGCTCTTATGCAGGGAGACAGGAAGCAGCACGCTTCAAAGAGAAGAGCTGATGCATGTGCAAGGCTGAGCTGGTGCCCTCCTGCATTTGGAAGTGCATCAGGATCTGCGGCAGGTCTCACTGCAGTTTAGCAGTGAGCCCAGGTGCTGGGCTGCAGCCTGTGCCCTGGATTTGTGTCCCAGTCTGAGGAGGATGAGGTAGGGGAACAACCTGAGGTGGTGGCAGCAAGGCGAGGAAACCTGGCAACCTCCCAAATGAACTGCGACCTTCACAAAGTGTGTCACCCCCACCGGGGCAGTTCTGAGTTTTCCAAAGGCATTGAGCTCAGGAAGGGAGCTCCTGCAATAGCAGCTGGCCCCTAGAGGCACTATTTCCTAGTGCACATTAGTAGCATGATCTCAAGCAGCATGTTTGTTGGGTTTATTTATACTTTCTAAGGCACTTGGGCTGTTCTTGCTAGGTTTACTGTTGAGCACCTTTTAGAGCCGTTGACCTAAGGGGGCTTTATGGCGCTCGGTTTACTGGTGTTAATGTGGCCTTTGGGCAGTTTTGTATTGGCATTTGGTTCCAGGGACTGTGCTCTTGTTATATTTGATAAGGAATAAATAATAGAATAATAGCTCTCTAGCTTTTTCCTTGTCTTGAACATGCCTAACTACAGCCTCCTCCATATGTAGGCCACAGAGGCTCTTTAAAGCCCTCAAATCATGTTTGGCATATCTCATCAGCCAAACTCTGTGGGATTTAGCCCAGCAAAGTGCAAAGAGATGGTCCTAGCTAAGTGTATGGTACCATACAAGTAGACATTGTAATACTTTTAATTTGGGTTGATTTCTGCTCTGGTTGTGTAGTTTGCTGTTTGAGCATGGCTGTGATTGCTCACCAGTGTACAGTTATTTTCCTGGTTAAATACTTTTGTCTAAAAGCCCATTAGGCTGCACATAGACTGATCTCTTCCCCAACCCCCCACCTCCCCCCAACAACACCCCTGTTTATTTTGCTCCCTGTTTTATTCACTCCCTGTGCATTGGGGCTGGGCTTAAGAGGTGGTCTTAATCCATAACTGTGCTGCTGTCAGACACAGGTGTCCCTGTTGGCTGTGCTACGATGAGCCTGGTGGTTAAATTACAGCCAGAGGCTGATGCTGGGTTTGGTTCAAATTCACACTGAAGGGCAGCTCAAAAATTAACCAGTGCAGCTGGGGAGGGGCTGTGCAGCAATGGGAAAGCCCAGCAGCTCATGCTCCTAGTGCTGTAGCATTGGGCTAGGTCCTGCTAGGTTGGGGAGGGGGGGAGGCATAAGCTTGCTGTGGGGAGAGAGGTGACCAGCTCTGGTTAGAGGCATTGGGATAGCAGCTGGGTCATAACGTTGGGTGCCTGCCCAGGGCTCTGCCTCTGGTCAGGAAAAAGCAGGCCTAGCTGGAGTGTCTTCCCCCTTCTCTCATTTATCTCCTCCTCCACTTGGCCCAGGGGCTGAAGCCAAGGCTCTTACCAACACACCAACATCTGCTCTTGCCTTGCCAGGCTGGCTTTGGGTAGGTTCCTGCCTGGGCACACCTGGCCTCAGTCACCGCTGTAGAGCTGTGGCTGCAGGTTTGTGCCAAGGACAGGCACAGACCCCGTTCTGCTGCTGCTCCTTCCCCTTAGCAGGAAGGGGCAGCTGCTAACCCGCTCCCTGCACTGCCCTGTATGAGTTTGGCAGGAGTTGGTCCAGGAGGACTTGCCTAATTCAGCTGCTCCAGCCCCAAAGACAACAGGTGGGAGCAGGGGTAAAAGCTAGTATCATGCTGCTGCCTCCAGCGTGTGAACACCAGGGGAAGCGTCCAGGAGTCAGTGTTTGCTGTGACCTTGGTCCCTGAGCACCCTATGGGGCATGGGGCTGGTTCCTTGCAGGGAGGAGTGGTCCTTCACACTGCAGATGCACACAAGGCCCCAGGAATAGCAAAAGCACTAAGAGAAAGAATACAAATTACAAGCTTTAATAAGGAAATTTGTGCAATGAATGAGAGATTCCTGAGGTTCTGCCACAGGGGAGCTCCACAGCACAGCTCTGACAGGAAAGGCCCCACAGAGGGAAGGGAGCCAAGGCTGGAGCAGTCACTAATTCTCTGCCACCTCCAAGCCCAGGATCTTCTTGACGTAGTTCTGGACGTTGACATGGAGCTGGGGGGCCGTAGCTGAGAAGGTCTCCATGGCCAGTGCCCGGGCTGACTCTGACCCACTCCACATGGCACGGTAGATGGGCAGGGTGTACTTCTGCTTTCCCTGTGAGACACAGTGAGGGTTAGGCCCAGATCTCCTCCCCAGGGTTCCAGCTGGACAATGCCTCCTAGACCGCAACACCGCACCCCACTGCTGGCTCCAGCCAGCCCAACTCCAGAAGTGGGACAGGTGGGGTAGAGCTCACCATAGGGCCCTACGATTCCCCTACACTGGGGAACAACTCCTCCACCATCCCCCTGCTCTCAGCCTGGCCAAGAGCACAGAGGAACAGGCCAGGACAAACACACTGCCTGGGGCAGCCCCTTGCAGTAGAGTGCCTGCTCCAAGTAGAAGAGAGAGAGAGAGAGAGAGCAGACCCATTTTCCCCAGCACAGACACCTTTGCTTAGTGCCCATCTCTCCCAACCTGCTGTCACTGTGATCGCCACCGCAGGGCACAGCCACCACTGCCCAGTGACCAACCTGGCTGCAAAGGAAGTCCTTGACCTTGCTGAACTCAGACTCATGGTTGTTCTTGAGGACGATCTGGCACCAGCGGAGACGCAGCTCGGCGTTCTGGGCCTTGGAGATCTTCGGGTACATCTTGCTCAGCCTCTCCACGTTGCCTGCGAGATGAACAGCATCGGTGCCAGTGAGCTCTGACGGGGCATTGGTACCGGTTCCCAGATCTCTGCTCGGAGAGGCCCCAGTGCACTTACCCCAGCTGTGACACAATGCCTGTGGCCCCTGACATCTAGCCAGCCCCAGGCTCTCCTGCACCTCCTGTTCTCAAGCAGCACAGACGCTCCCTAGCTCTGGCTAGGAGAGTGCCCTGGCCACTCCCAGCAGGGCCTTGCTGGGGCCTTCCAGGCCCAGGCAGACCCACAGCCTTGCAGAGCCACATGCTAGGCTTGGGATGCCACCACGTAGGGCAGAGAAGTCACTCAAAGGGTGTGCGGAGAGGTGAATGCAGCCAGCCTGGGGACAGCGAGGCTCGTCCCTGCCACTGCACACATGTCCTGAGGCGGCCAGGGACGTGCTTCCCCTTGCCCTTCGCTCCCTAATGCACAGATCGAAGCTTCCCAGACATGGCGTAACCTCACTGCTGGAATGCAGCAGCGACACGCTGACTGATGAGCACCAGGGTGTCCCAGTGACATGCTCCTGTCCCCAGCCAACTGGCTGGACCAGGGGGCATCATCCCACGCTGCCACTGGGTGCCCAGGAGGTGACCTGGCCCTTACCTTCTGGCAGGGGAGATTTCTGTAGGATCTGATCCAGGAAGTAGACTAGCTGGTATGTTTTCCAGGCAGAGATGTCCACTGCTTCGATCGCCTCCACGTTCAAGCTGTCGGTTGCCCAGAGCTCCGCCAGCTCGTCTGCCGGCTTCATCAGCTGCTCCCCCGGCGAGAGGTCAGGCAGATAAGGGGGCCAGCCTGGCGTGTTCAGCCAGCGATCAAACTCAAAACCTGCAATGAGGAAGGGAGGAAGAGCTGGGACAGGATTTCTGAACCCCACGGCTGGAGCTACTGCCCAGACAAACCACAGCTTTCTCCAAGGGCACCACCAGTACTAACAAACCTGCCAAAGCTGGCAATGGGCAGACAAAGGGGGTCAGGCTCCACCTCTCCAGGATTTGGTGCTCCGTTTGCACTTGTGTGTTAGCCCACCCCACCGCCTGCAAGACGAGCCAGCTCCAGCCTGGATAGCTTCTGCCAGGCCTGGATCTCAGTGACACCACACAGAGCAGAGCTGAGGATCATGCACCAGCTGAGCGCGACCTCAGCGCCACACACCAGTGGCTCTAGTGACAACCCCTCACATCTTGGCACTAGAGACAAACTCCAGGGACAGCTGTAGGTAGGGAAACCCCAAGTGGCAGCACCTGAACACAAAGCAAGCACTGGATTCACATGCAAAAATCAGACTGATCATACGAGTGACTGAGTCAACGTTAGCTGCTGGATCCTGGGCAGGCCAGATCTGCTCTGCTTCCATCAGAGTTGAGGCCTGCAGTAGGCAGTAACATCTTAAATAAGACCCACTGAGCTGGACCCAATGTACAAACTAAGCATGCACATGGTTTCCAGCAAGGTCAGACCCAAAATTAAACTTGAAGGAGAGAAGAGGTTGGGGAAAGTCAAGCAGACAGAGCAATGCTTATCAAAGTGGTAGCTCTTCAGTATCCCTGGAATGAGGCTTAGCAGAGCGAGTTCCTCACCCTCAGCTGAGACATGAGAAAGCCTCGAGACCACCCCCCCCCCAAGGGGCTGGTTTGCAATGCGGTGCCATGGGCCTGCTGGCCAGGAGACCCCCCCCCAGCCACCCTGTGCTGACCTGGCAGGGAGTCCACGCCTTTCTTCTTCAGCTCCGGGAAGTACTCCAGGAAGAACTCGAGGGCATCATCTGCTGTGATGCTCTGGAACTTGAACTGGTTCACGTAGGCCTGCAGGGAGAGCATAGGGAGTGATGCACACACTTCCCACCTCATGTCACCACAGCCTGTGCTGGCTCTGGCTCACTCGAAGACCCCTGGGCTCAGTGCTCAGGAAGCTTGGTGAAGCTGCCTCATCTCCATGCCCTGCTCAGACTCATCTCCATTTCCCCGCAAGGAACTCCCCAGCCCCTGCATCACGCTGGGAAGGCTCCAAACTCCACCACCATCTGCTGCCAGTGCATGGCTGAGTTTACCCTTAATCTCATTCCTCAGCGAGCATCCCCATTTGTCATCTTTTGTTCCTCTCCTCAGCTGCCCTGTTCAGCCCTTTCTTCCTGAGGGTCCTGTTGCCTCCTTGTCCCTCTGCAGAATTTTGCATTACTTGGCACCTCCACCAGCCCCAATTCACCACCAGCACACTGGCGGAAGCTTCTATGCCAGGCACAGGGCAGATCTGCCCCAATGCTCACTGCCCATGTACCTACCTGGAGGAAGGCATCGAACTTGCTCTGGTCCCCCACAAGATGTGCCAAGTAGCTCACAAAGCAGTACCCCTTTTCATAGGGAGTTTCATTGTATGTGTCATCTGGATTGACACCTAACAGGCCAAAAAGACAGACACTTTGAGGAAAAAAGAAAATCTGCTATTCTGCAAGACAAACAGCCCTTGCGCTGAAACATCCTCTTTCTGTACACCACACGCAAGGACCCTATGAGAGGGACCAAAGAAGAGTGAAAGCTTTTCTGCAAGAGCAATCCAGCTGATTCTAACCCCATCAACCCCGCAACAGCCAGGCTGTGATATGAGCTCAGACTTGCCTTCCCCACCCCATAGGCCTCCCCCCAGAAACACCTTGGCTCCAAGGATATAACCAAGGAAGATGCTGCACACTGCCCATGTCTCAGCACCTACCACTGCCACCTGGCTCCCATTGACCTAAAGGTTGATCTAAAGTTATTTTGGCCCTTTGTTACCGTTTGTGTCAGGCACTGCCCAAGCAGACGTTCCCTCTCCTGCTTAGTGCCAGGAACCCTGACTCAGGGCTTGGCAATGCCCCGAGCCTATGCAGCGCCCAGAGGCAGCACCTCCACCTGCATTTAGGCACCTGCGAAGCTCAGCCTTTCAGATGTGTTCTGCACTCCACAGCAGCCAGCAGCTTGCATGGGAGGGCACTTAAAGAGACCAGGAAACTCATTTTGTTAACTGGAGACATCCCAGTGTACAAACTGGGCGCTAGGGATAGGGGATGAATGTCTCCAGCCCTCTCCCACCAAATCCTGGGAAACGAGGAGCTGGGATGCCCCAGAGCATGGGGGATGATGACGAGAGGCTATTGGCGTGCAGAGCGCAGCCCTGTCATACCCTGCGCAGAGTTATCGCGGTGCCCAGGTTCTACAACCAGAACTGGTTTTATTCCAAGACATTAGCTCTCTGAAACACACCAGCAGTAGGACCTTTCCCTCACATGCTGCATGACAGCCTGTCTGCCCCCATGCCCACAGGTCGGGTATCGGAGGAAAGAGGCACCCCACAAACCTGGCTCGATTATCACCCGGAGCTTGTTTAGTGGGTGATCCTCTCCAGTGTTGTCCATGTGCTGGCGCAGCAGGGCCCTTCCTGTTGCAGCCTCCAGGCAGGTGTATGCAGAACCTGGGCAGAAACAAGCAGGAGGTGCTTGGAGACCCCGACCAGACCCAAGTGTACTTTATGTTCCCTTGGCGTCTGCTCTGGGCTCAGAAGAGAGTGGAATGGGTGCTGCTACAAAGGCACTAGCTTACTAGTTTGAAGAGCAGGAAAGCAGTAGCCACTGGGCCAGTTCTGCCCATCACTGAATAACAGGACCAATAAACTAGGCATTTAGTTGGAGCTGCAAAGAAGCACAGCAAACCAGCCCTTGGTTAGCAAGTTTTTAGAGCCATGAGTTACACTTTCAGCTGAGTTCAGCAGATAGCACTAGGTAGTGTCTGAGCTGTTAGATGTGACCCATGAGTCCAACAAGCTCTGGACTGCCTGGTATTGGCTCCCTCAGTGAGCTGGGAGAGCAAAAGAAAGATTTTAAGACTGGGTAAAAAAAAAAATCACTGCTCCCCTGCCCAGCAGGGCTCCATTTCCCTGGTACAAGGATATTGTGGCTCCATTCATTTCTCTTAGACAAGGTTGCTTTGTTGTCAACAACAAGAAACCCCAGCTGCATTGCAGACTGCTACTCTTCAAGTCTTTTTAGACGCAGTAGAGGCTCTGGCCGCACAGGTAGTGCCAAGAAGGATGTGCTGAGCAGCAGAACATGGATCCCAAAACTGTGCTGTCCAGGAGGACAACAGGGCTCTGCCTGCAACAGCAAGACCATACATGGGAACTCCGTGCTCTACGCCAGGACAGAGGCCGGACAAGGCCACGCACCGTAGACCTCAGTGGAAATCCGCCTCTGCGCATACATGGTGAAGCCCTCATTCAGCCAGAACTCGCCCCACGTGGCATTAGTGACCAGGTTGCCAAACCAGCTGTGGGAGATCTCGTGGATGATGACATCCACCAGGGAACGGTCCCCGGCCAGCAGGCAGGGTGTCACAAAGGTGATGCAGGGGTTCTCCATCCCACCAAAGGGGAACGAGGGCGGCATGAACAGGATGTCGTACCTGGCAGGGAAGAGCAGATGGCTTGGTATAGATCCACTTTTTCCTGCAGATATGGCCCAGAGACTGAGGGACACTCCCTCCTCAGCCCCAAAGGAACAAGACTTATCAAGAACAGGACACCATACCTGCCCCAAACATAGGGTCCAAAGAGCTTCTCTCCAACTGCCAGGAACTCCTCAATCACCCCATCATATTCCTTCTTAGCAGCCTCAATCAGGCAAGGCTCAGCCCAGACACGGCTCCTGCAGAGACCAACAGAGCTCACACCTGGCAAGGGAAGGGAGTCCGTACAGACCCCATAGACGAGTAGCAGCTGAGGGCAATGTTTGGCCCCACTGACCAACATCACTGTGCCAGAGAAACCTCCAGAGAGCAGAGCAGTGCGCATCTGCTCTTGGAAATGGTTCTTGCTGCCCTGCTCGTATCAGCATATTGCATCTCCACCAGGAGAAGGCAGCCAGGAGCACTCTGCAGTCCCAGGGCACCCAGGCTGTCAAACATCAGGCAGGGGAGAGACCACAAGCCGGAGCCCTTCTGCAGCTGATGTGTTTGGTCAAGTATGAGAAGAGGAAGTTTTAATCATTAGTCGACTTTTACCCTATTGCTTCATCAGAAAATAACTGCATGTTTACTCCACTACAAAATAAAAGCCTGGTGATAAATGAATCTAATGAGACAGCACAACTGTTGAAATTTCTTTCCTTATCTGAACGTCAAGGGGCTTTTGCACAGTCACCAAAACGGCCAGGAACCCTGGATAAACCACCCGGCTTTGGGAAGAGATGTTGGACCATCCTTGAACAAACACATGCTGCTTTCACTCACGTGCACAGGAAAGAAATGAGCGTTTCCAGGGAGTCACTCAAGGGAGAGCAGAACTGAGCACAAAGGTTCCCAAAGCGCTGGCCTGAGACCCCTCTGCACTCTTAAGAGCAAGGAACATGCTCACCCAGGCAAAGCTCAAGGTCTGATAACATGCTGCTCAGCACCACAAATGCAGCAGTTGGGAAGACTGACTTATTCTTACTATCAGCATCCTGATAGGCCTGCCTATTCCATGAGAGCTCAGAAGTGCAAGGAGAGGCAGGCAGCACACAGCTGCCACAGGACAGCACAGAACACAGAAGACCGTGCCGAGTTTCACCATCATTCACAAGGCAGCAGCTCCCACAACCAAGACTCAACACTTGTCTCTTCTACAGCTACTTACCTTGGGCCGACTTCAGCAGAAACAATGTCCCCGACAGCCAGAGCAATCAGGTAGGAGGGGATTGGTTGGGACATCTTGAAAATGAAGGTGTTATCCTTCTCTTTCTCCCAGGTTGTGGCACTCATCACAGCTGTGAAACCCTCAGGGACCTAGAAACATCGGTAAGAGCCTCTATGAGGTCTGTAACGTGCAGTGAGATTTTAGCTAACCCAACTGGGGATGGTACAGTGTGTGCTGCTGGAGCCAAGCTCAAGCCAGCCGTGCTGCTTGCTAACGTCCCTTAAACGTTGCAGTCTTTGGGATAAAGCAAAAGTGGTCAGACTTCTCCCAATGGTAGCACAGAGGCACAGGGCATCCCCCTCCAGACTAACACCAAACATAGCCATGTCACAGCACAGTGAACTTGGCCAGGGCCTAGCAAACCCATCTGTTTACACACCACAGATGAGTTTTACTGGGCTCAGCCGCCAACCGATGCCACAAACACTCAAAGCCTTCTATGTTACAGCCAGCCAGCCCTTCCCCATACAGTCAGCCCACAGCTCTGACACTGCCAGATTTTAAGGGCCCAGGGCATAGCAGTGAAGGACAGAGCACTGACGCTGGACTGACGCTGGACTGCAGCTGTCCCCCCAACTCCCAAGACAGCTGCAGGGGTTGGGGACACTCAGCACTTTGGAAGCCAGGCTCAAACATCTGCCTAGTACAACACAGTGAGGATAAAATGCTCCAGAGTTGCTTGAGCTGTCTTGTAAGGTTGGCATCTGCCAGAGGACAAGCAAATAGCCAGAGAAAGGCTGGAATTAAAGGCATGGCAAAGGATGAAAGGGCAAAGGATGCAAGTTCTTCAGAAACTGGTTCTCCTGCAATTGCTTATACAAGAACTTGTTTTCCTAGTTTGTCAGTCCAAAGCAAACTCTGCACTTGATCCTCTAGCCTGTGCTAAGCAGGACAGACTGTTTCCCTGTAGCTCTCAGTTGGGCTGGCTGGGTTGCACCTTACAAGACAGGGAAGCTAAGGTGACCTCTCCTCTTCCAAGAGGTGAGTCTCTGCAGGGTCACAGAGAGCAAGATTTCTTTCGCGCAGACATCAGAGTTTTACAGTAGCCGAACCCTGCACTCACTTTACAGGAGGGAGCTTTGCTGACTCTTGAGGGAAGAGGTCAGAGCAAAAGACAGACTCCCACATCACCAGTCTCTATGAGAGGTCAGCCCTGGCCTGCTGTCACACCTGAAGGCAGCGTCCCTACCCTAGCCTGTGGCAGACTGGCACAAAGTGAACATGCGGTAACGGTCCATCTCCAGCACTGCTGATGCCACTGAGTGGCTGCACACGGAGAGGACGGACAAAACCCCACAGGCCAGACACTATCTCATCACAGGCATATCTACCTGCTGCTCAATTACCTGCGTGCCCTCTGCCACTCCACAGACTAGTAATTTGGCTTCCCGCGAGGGGCAGCTCTGCAGCAACACCAGGGATTCCCCAAGAAAGCAGGTGACCAGCCCTTATCTCATCACAATTCCTCCAGCGCAGAGAAAACAGCCCAGCAGCCAGGCTGAGAGTAAACCCTGCACGGAACTTACCAAGCGGCAAAAAGCTGAAACTCATCAGCTTCCTTCTGTGGTGATCAAAAGCCAGGAAGAATATTTTTGAGGAAAAAAGTGTTGTGTGTGTTTCCCCCCCCCCCCCCCCAAAAAAAAAAAAAAAAAGCAGGTTGTCCACTCTGGGAGATCCACAGTAACTCTGAATGAATGAAACTGCTATCTCTTGAGAGGCACTGCATGAAATCGCAGACCCCCAATTGGAAGAGAAATTGAAATTCAAATTATTTAGCCCTGTTTTTTATTAAACGCCACCTGAGGGCCAATAACTGGTCACTAACTGATGATGTGGAAACTGAGGACCGCCAGGGGTCTGGAAGCCTGGCATCTCCCTGCACAACCATCAGGACCTGGCATCTCCCTGTGTGACCATACTCATCTACCAAAGCCGTACCCAAGCTTCACCTCAGAACCCAGCTCTTCAAAGGCACCCTCAAGCTTCTCCACATGCCAAAAATAAAAAGCATCCTGCTATCCTCTGACTTCTAGGAGGCAAAATTGGGTAATTATTTAGAAGACACATGCATCAATATGAGGAGACCAGACAGAAGTTTAAATACCAACCAAGTTAATTCCAATTCCAAGCGATGCTTTTGGTTCAAATACCAAACGTTTCAGCAACCTCTCACTCTGAGACAGAAACTTTCAATGAAGCACCTCACATATCTTGCATACACATCCTCTTTCAAGTGATGACACAAACCAGCATCCATCACACATGGTTGGGGAAGCATGAGGGAATTGTGAGAGAAGCTTTTGGTCCATTTATATTCATCTTTAAAAACAGAATCAAACCCAAATATTTTCCAGTGTCGTCTTCACTTGGGCCCTTTAGTGGAGTATTCAAACGGAGTGTAACAAGTATCATTTCAAATATGCTGCCATAAGTCTGTACAAGAACAAGGGTCTGGGCAGTGTTTAAAGCAAGAAGCAACACCCAAACGTTTCAGCGTGTGCAGTGTGTACTGTGACAAGAGCTGGCAGCTTCCTATTGTCTCCCTTTGAGACGTTATAAACCAGGACAAACTTGATCAGCTTTCTGCTCTTGATAAGCTGCAGAAAGGTGGCTGAATTTGTACCCACATGTCTTTCTTGGGGTACTGCTTACCTTCACTGTGGCTGAATATGTACATTTAACTGCTGGAGTATCAAAGCCAGGGAAAAAGGATCTATTCAGGACGGCCTGGCCTTGAGTGTACAAATAGGGCTTCTGCTTCCCTGCTGTCTGCTCGGGAGTGAGCCAACACACCTGACGAGAGACAAGAGACAGCTTTGTGTGAGGGGGGGAGACTTTACCTGAATCCTTGCAGAATAGGTGCTCTTTGTTGCTGGAGTGTGAAAGCCAGGGAAAAAGGACCTGTTGAGCACAGGAAAGCCAGAAGTATAAAGGAAAGGCTTCTCCTTCTGAGCAGTTTGGAAAGAGTCCAGCCAGGACATCTGCAGCACAGGCAGAATAAGGAGAACAATCAATAAAGTTGCATGAGACGGTGAGATTTAAGACACAGTTACCAGCAGCACATATGAAATTTGAAGGACAGCTCAATCCCCGAGCGGTTTCTCCCTGGGAAAGAAACACGAATCACCTGAACGAAACGGGGCATGCTGCCCTCTGACAGACAACCAGGCACAAAAGCACCTTTCTTGACACATCCCAGGTGGACTCTGCAGATGGGATGGTCCAGCTCCCAGACAGCAGAGTCACTGTTCTAGATGAAAAAACGCCCTCATGTTGGTAGAGCATGCTTAACCCCAGAGTTATGCTGCTCTAGCTCTGCTAACAAATTTCAGCCACAGCCTTCTGAAGGGTCTTATTTTTTTTGGAGAGATTCACTTGGCTAACTTACAGGCAACTTTGGACTGATGAAGCCCTTCCTTTGGAGAACAGCCCACACCTAGGCGTTATCTACAATAAAAGGATTGCTAGCTTAGCAATATCCACATACAGGCCTTGACGAAATGCACATTATCTCTACTCAATAAGATATGCCAGCAAGGATTTTTTTTGCATGTATAGCTGTATCAGTGCTGAGTCAGGGCCAGTGCTTGTACGCTAGCAGAGGTAAAGGAAGTTCACCCGGAGAATCAGCAAAACTCAAAATGTGAACACAAACTGCCATGACTGGCAAGCCTTTACCAGGATGTGCCAGTAGCTGCAGCAAATATTTGAAAATCAGAGGAAGCACTAAGCCTGGGAAAAGGTGTTTAGGTTAGGGGCACCCTAACCCCCTTGGGTCATCTTGGCATGAGCTCAAATTTGGAGCAGGATGGAAAAGAGCAGCATCTGCCTCAAAGAAGCCTGTCATCTTCCGCTCTTGTGATAAGTCACAGGACCAAACGCAAATGGTCAAAGCAGTCAGTTGCTTCTCCAAACTGCGAGTTTAAGGGCCTGCCCTGGTTTTGGTCATGCTCCAGTGGGCTTGCACTGCCTCAGGATTTTTACTTCCCATCAGAGAGCATGACACGAAGAAAGACACGAGAAGCACAGGGTGAAGCAGTCGAGCGCCTCCCTCCCTGCAGCCAGAGAACAGCTCCTAGGAGTTCCCAGTGACGGAGAGATGATCCGTCACTGCTCTCCCTTGATGAAGCTGCGAGACCAAACTGCTGAAACAAGAAGGGAAGGACAAGGACAGAGCGCCGGCTGCCGTGTGGAGCTGCCGGGTCGTGCTGTGACCCAGGCCGCGCTCAAGCCTGGGGG